TTTTTGGTCCTTACTGTTCACAAATCCGGCCCCTTTTTAGTCCCTCCGTTAAAATTTTGCTGACTTGTCACGTTAATTAACGGAATTATTTCATTATTTTTTATATAAACAATATTATAAATGACATGAAAATTACATGTACAATTATAAATGACGTGGACAAAATTATAAATACACATAAACACTTTATCTCAATATTACATGTCACTTATATAAATTAAAAATTTTACTTTATTAATTTATGAATTAAACATAATTAATTTTAATTTTTTAATCTTCTTCTTCCTCTTCTTCTTCACCCTCCGCTTCTTCTTCAGAATCATCTTCATCATCTTGGGTTCCTCGTGGAACCCAGTGCGGGGTTTCATGAGGAACCCAGAGCCTGTGCGGGGTTCACAAGGAACCCAGATCTGGGTTCCTCTCGAAACCCAGCACTGGGTTAGCGAGGGACCCAGAACTGGGTTTCTCACAAACCCAGCTCGCTAACCCAGAACTGGGTTTCTCACAAACCCAGAGCTGGGTTTGTGAGGAACCCAGTTCTGGGTTCCTCGCTAACCAAATGCTGGGTTTGTGAGGAACCCAGATCTGGGTTCCTCGCTAACCCAGTGCTGGGTTTGTGAGGAACCTAGATCTGGGTTCCTCGCTAACCCAGAGTTGGGTTCCTCTCGAAACCCAGCATTGGGTCTGCGCGGAACCCACTAGCTTGGATCAAAACGAGGAGGACCACGGCAATCTTCATAGGAATCCATCATCAAATAATTGCCGCTGGTTAGGTTTCAGCTGCGGAATGAGTTCTGGTTGGGGCAGCCGGAGCTGTACAAGCAAGCTGATAGGGACGATCCCAAAGCTTTGAAGAATGTTGAGTTTGGAAATTGATTTTTGTTTTAATGTTGAGTTTGATAGTCTGTATAGATTGAACTCTGAAGAATGTGAGGATTGATTGAATTGCAGGGAAAGAATTTAGGCAAGCTAAAGCTGTATTGTTTGTTAGTTTTTTTAAAAATTTAAGGGAATTGAATGTCCTCGCGAACCCAGGCTCTTGGGTTCGCCTAGAGGTAAAAGAAAAAAAAGAAAGGCTGGAGGAAGGAGAAGCCGAGGAAGGAGAAGCCGAGGAAGAAGATGAGGGTATATCAGTAATTAAAAGTAAAAAATTTAACATGTAATTAATTTTTGACACATGGATTTTCCATGTCATTTCGTAAAGAAAAAGAACAAGTGTTTCCGTTAATTAACGTGACAAGTTAGCAAAATTTTAACGGAGGGACTAAAAAGGGGCCGGATTTGTGAACAGTGAGGACCAAAAAAGGGATTTTTTCGGTACAGGGACCAAAAAAGGGCTTTTTCTTATAGTAGAGGGACCAAAAAGGGTATTTAACCTATTTTTTAAAAATAAAGTGTAGTCGCCCACATTAAGACTGAGTGCAGTTAGCAGTTAGCACTGCTAAAAAGAATTGAAAAGACCATGAGTATCCTAAGGATTAATGGGATTATAGAT